GTGCCTTCAGCCACGTGATGTTTCTGAGGAGATATTGTGTTTCAGTGACTCTACATACTCAGTTGCTCCAGCAGAGAGAAACAATCCAGTCAGTTTTTTCAAAACTCCCAAACTAGAGGCCATGGCGTTTCCTGTTCAGTTTCCCACTGGTGAGAATACACTGGATGAAAACAGACCAATGAAACTATCACCCAGTAGTTATTTTAAAGCAAGGCTCTTTGGTGTTGATGATCGCTTTGCCAGAGATACCAACTACCTGTTCTTTGCACAGTTTGTGACTGAAATACACTTGGCTACCTCCAGCATGTCAATACAGTTACGCAAAGGCAAACCTTTTACCAGAGACGGACGTAAAATAACATCCAGAATGTTGAGAGACAAATACGAAGTGGAGAGACTGGTGAGAAACAGAGATGCTATCAGATTTATGCAGCCGCTCAGAGGAACACCAGCCTACTGGGACAAAACTACAAAAGATCTGTTTGCTATGATCAGGCAGTTGGGCAGTCCTACTTTCTTTGTCACATTTTCTGCAGCAGAAATGCGTTGGCCTGAGGTGATTATTGCAATAAAATTACAACAAGGTGAGGAGGTGAATTTTGAAGAGCTCGACTGGTCCACAAAGTGTGACATTCTGAGAAGCAATCCTGTGACAACGATGCGCATGTTTGATAAGCGTGTTGAAGCACTGTACAGAGATCTGATCATGTCTCCTGCACAACCCCTGGGCAAAGTTTTTGACTTCTTTTGGCGTCTCGAGTTTCAGCACAGAGGAAGTCCTCATATACATGGTCTTTTGTGGGTAGAAGGTGCACCTGTGTTTGAGAGAGACTCTGACAAAACTGTGTGTGACTTTGTGTCCAAACACATCTCTGCTCAGCTCCCTGACCCAAACAAACAGCCTGAACTGTTCAAAAAGGTCAAAGAAGTGCAAATACACAGTAAGAACCACTCAAAGACATGTTTCAAAAGTGCAAGTTCTGGATGCCGATTTGGATTCCCAAAACCACCCTCCAGACAGACAATGATAACAAGACCTGTGGGTGATGATGAGGAGTCAGAGAGACTTAAGAGAGCCAAAGAGAAACTTGCACCACTGAATCAGCTGCTGAATGAGACACAAACTGAATCCATGAGTTTTCAACAGCTCCTGTCTGTCTGTGACTTAACCGCTGATGAGTATGAGAAACACATGAATGTGATGAGTCAGTCCAGCAACATCATTCTGAAGCGTGAGCCAAAAGACTGCTGGGTAAACACCTACAACCCTCACCTGCTCAAAGCTTGGGATGCAAACATTGACGTGCAGTTCATTCTCAGCTACTACAGTCTGATCCATTACATATGTACGTACATGTGTAAAAGTGAGAACTCTGTGAGCCAGTACCTGCAGACACTCATTCAGAACTCCGACAGAGAATGTGTCAATGAATGTGATGAAATGAAAGCGGTCATGCAGGCGTATTCCAAAAAGCGAGAAGTATCAGCACAAGAAGCTGTTGCCCGAGTGACTTCACTGAACATGAAAAAGAGTTCACGCAGTGTGGTTTTTGTCCCAACTGATGACAACCCAGTGAAAATGAGTCTGCCTGTGTCAAGCCTTGACAACACAACACCAGACAGCTTGAATGTGTGGATGACATCCTTAACAGACAAGTACAAATCCAGACCTGAATCACCAGAGTTTGAAGAGATGTGCATGGCTGATTTTGCGTCTACCTGCAGACTGGTGTATGGACAACAGACCAAGGGCAAGAAAGTGGTACCTTTGCTGAATGAACTAGGCTTTATACAGAGACGAGAAAGTGACAACGCTGCTGTCATCAGGTATCGCCGCATATCCAAAGAGAAATACCCTGAGCAGTTTTACGGCACATTGCTTAGACTGTATCTTCCATACAGATCAGACGATGAGCTGAAAAGACCATATTTTCCCACGTATGAGTCATTCTATGAGAGAGGTGTGGTTCAGCTGCCGTATTCTGACCGACCCCTGAGTGTGAAACTCATTGTGAAAAGAAACAGAGAGAGATATGAAAAAAACAGTGAGGAAATTGACTCTGCTCTCGAGGACTTTGAACAGAACAGAGGTGTGGTCGATGAATGGTGTAATTTGGCACCTGAATCTGAACTGGTGAGGTTGGAGTGTATCGATGAACTGGACGCCAGACAGTGTGAAAATGTCCAAGAGGATGTACCGGATTACAGCAGACAAGCAAATGCTGCTACAGAGGCCAGAGTCATGAGAGAGCCCCCTACAATCGATCCCACACGGTTACGACAAATGTATCAGAGTCTGAACCAGAAACAGGCATGTGTGTTCTATGCAGTGAGAGACTGGTGCATAAAACGAGTCTGTGGACCACAACCAGAGCAGTTTTTCTACTACATCAATGGTGGTGCTGGCACTGGAAAGTCACATCTCATTAAATGCATTCATTCAGAAGCATCAAAGATTCTGAGAACACTACCTAGACGTGCTGAGGAAGCTGACATCTCAAACCCGACTGTGCTGTTGACTGCTTTCACTGGAACTGCAGCCTTTTACATCTCTGGAACAACACTGCACTCTCTCCTCAAGCTGCCCAGAAGTCTGAAACCTCCGTTTCAAGGTCTTGGGAACCAACTTGATGAAATCAGGTGTGAGCTTTTAAATGCTGAAATCATCATCATTGATGAAATCTCCATGGTGTCGAAGCCTCTGTTTGCCTATGTGGATATGAGACTGAAACAGATTAAAGGTAGCCACAGACCCTTTGGAGGAATGTCAGTCATTGCTGTGGGAGACTTTTACCAGCTACCACCTGTGCGACAGTCCAAACCACTCTGTGTCTATGATCCAAGTGAGCTTGACCTCTGGAGAGACAACTTCCAGGTGATCACTTTAGATGAGATCATGCGACAGAAGGATGACAAAACTTTTGCCGAGATGCTGAACAGACTCCGTGTGAAAACAAGGTCAGATGAGCTTTCTGAAGCTGACAGAGCTCTGCTGTCACAGCGTGTCACTGAACCACAACTGTGTCCCTCTGATGTCCTGCACATTTTTGCTACAAACAAACAAGTTGCAGCACACAACTCTGCTACACTATCTCTGCTCCATTCTGATATCACCACCATTGATGCAGATGACTTTAAAAAGGACCCACACACTGGAACCATGAAAAGACAAGGTGCACCATGTCATGGAAGCAGAAATGATCTACCTGACACACTAGATGTTGCAGTAGGTGCTAGAGTCATGCTTACCAGAAACATAGATGTGTCTCAAGGATTGGTAAACGGATCATTTGCTACAGTAGGCCGTCTTATAAGCTCTGAAAACAACGGTTCTGCTCTTGTCACTATGCTCGGTCTCAGGATGGATGATGAAACAGCTGGCAGGAGCTATCGTACTCGAGGAGACAATCTTGTGTACATCGAGAGATCTGAGGAGGCTCTGCAACAGAAAGGAGTGGTACGCAGACAGTTTCCTGTGAAACTTGCCTTTGCATGCACGATACACAAGGTTCAAGGTATGACCAGAAAATCTGCTGTTGTCTCTCTGAAGCACATTTTTGAGCCCGGCATGGCCTACGTAGCTATCAGTCGAGTGACCTCTCTCAGCGGACTGCACATGCTTGATTTGGATGAGAGTAAAATTTATGCTAACCCTGCAGTCACTGTATCTTTGGAGACCATGACACAAGCTAACTTTGATCACCTCATGCCTTTTCTCCAGATCCAGCATTCTCTCAGCAGACAAGACACTGTGAGCATCATTCATCACAACACCGAAGGATTACCTGCTCATGTGAATGACATCAAAAGCCATCATGAACTGTGTCTTGCAGATGTTTTGTGTCTGACAGAAACTCACCTACAGGGCTCCTTTGTGGCAGACAGTCTCCAGTTTGAGGGCTACACCATGTTCAAACGCAACAGACATTTGTCCTACACTAACTTTCCACAGATGGCCAGTAAAGGAGGTGGTGGAGTCGCTGTTTATGTGAAAAACCATTTGCAGGTTGTGGAGAAACAGTACCTGAATAATGTGACTGACCTTGAGTTTGTGGCTTTGAAGGTTGAATCTCCTGTAAGTGCTCTGATTGCAGCTGTGTACAGACCTCCAGACTACAGTGTGCCATCATTCCTGTCCAATCTGGGAAGCCTTCTGGACTCACTTGAGATCATGGACTGTCATCCTATCATTGTCTGTGGCGACTTCAATGAGAATCTCTTCTCTAATGCAAGTAAGCCAATTTTGGATTTCTTTCAGTCCAAGGGATATGGTCAACTGATCACTGCTGCTACAACGGACAAGAACACACTGCTGGACCTGATTTTCATCTCACGACCTCAGCTATGTCTCTCCTCAGGTATTGTGCAGACATACTACAGTTACCACAACGCCACTTACTGTGTTATTTCATCCAACAGGTCATAGAGGAAACTGCTCTTAAGGAAAAGACAAACTACAGAAGCTGTGGCTAATGTTATGCTCATATTTTCAGTACAGACTGAAATGTGTTTGGTGATTGTAAATTTTACTCGTGCAAAAAATATTTTTATGGCTCAGAATTTTTGGAAAGAAAATATTTTTCAGGTTGTAAAATGTTCCAACTATTCAAATGTTATAAATTACAATTTTTGGCCTGTGCATTTATCAAGTCCAGTCAAGTCAAGTTAATCCATTTAACTTGACTTGACTGGACATAGGGAGGGTGGGTGCGGATTGATAAATGCACAGGCCAAAACTCTCAGCTGCTGTGTACAATAATGTATACAGCAGCAAAAATTAAACCACCTACCAGCTGAAACCCCCCTTTTCTCCACCCAACTTTACACTACTCTCTTAGCATGGGTGGCTGTAAGTACACTAGGGCAAACATAAGATTCCTTTCCTTTGGGTATGTTTTGTTTCATTTTATTTTATTTTTTCAGTTGTATCCTACATCTTTGGCCTGACCTCCATTAGTGATGTCCTGACTAGCTCACTGTAAACTGAAAAAATTATCAAACTGTCAACCAAAAGTAAACACCTCACCTTTAGGTACACTAGAGTAAACCTAAGTTTCCTTTTGTTTGGGTTTTTTTTTTTTCTTCTTCAGTTGTCTCTGCCATTTTTGACCTGACCATTAGTGCTGTCCTGACTAGCTCACTGTGAGCAGAAAAAAATTATCAAACCGTCAACCAGAAGTAAACACATCACTTTGGACAACTCAAAGACACAGTCTACTTGCTGTTTAACCCAGTCTTTGGTCGGAGGTGAAGAAGAGATGACATCCTCCACACCATTCCTCTGCTGCTCTCAACAACCATCACCCGCTGTGCTGGACAGACTGCAGCACCCACCAGGACCCTTCTCTCATGGACAACACAAACATGTGTTTTACCTGCTCGTGCTCCAGATGTCCTGAAGCAGCTCTCAATGACCACCAGACACCAGAGTGAAGCAGAACTGATGCTGTAGTACCTGTCACTCACTGGGCTTGTCCCTGCTGAACCTCCAAGAGATAAACCCCTCTTCAAGAATGTCTGAGGTAATGTCTTAGTGAACTTGTGTTCATTTATTTTTTCTTAGTAATCTTAGCTGCTGTATTAATGCTTCTGACGCTAATGTACAGCTCTGCTGATATCGTCTTTAACAGCAGTGTTTTCTCCCAGGTCTTCTTCAAGCCAGTTAAGAGAGGAAGAACAGCTTGGACACTCAGACAGCTGAACGTACCAAAGGTAGACATCATGCAGCCACCCTACGCCTTGAGCCTCCCTGTGTGAGGAAGCTTTGCTGCTGCAGACCTGGTGAAGTGGCTCTGGACAGAAATATTTTTGCTCTGCTGCAGTGCTGAAGGTATTCACTTTAATTGTATGTGTATTTATTCAACATGTTTAGTTTCATAGATTATCAACACAAATGTTTCTGTTTCCTGCTTTGAACCTGCTACATTCTCCTACTTCAAGTCACTGTCTGTTCATCCACGGTGTAGCCAGTGCAGCTCAGCAGAGTCCTACTAATGGTGATCCTTCAAGTCCTGCTGTCCTGTGAAGCAAGCTGCAGCAGATGTCATGACATTCAGATCATCAGTTTATCTTTACTGCAGCTTTAAACTTTCCCTGAGGTAACGGTGTATTTCCTTGCCCCATAACAAAAACCATGTTTGACCAACATAGAAAAGCACAGAATTACTGTTAGCACAGGATTACAGAGTTAAAGTGAAGGGGATTTTGTTTGTTTTTTCAGACCTCTCCTCCTCCTGCATCTGACTCCAGTGATGCTGTCAACTTGAACACTGATAACTGCACACAGTGATCCTACAACCACAGGTCAAAGGTCAAAACATTACCTCACTCTAAACCTTCACTCAGAACTGTACCGGGCTCTGCTTTTGGTTTAGAAAAAAAGTGCCCAGACAGAACACAGTACTCACTTAAGGAACTGACTGATTGTCTTCAGGACAGGACAACTACTACTCTTGTATTGTTTTGAATCGTGGTTACTACATTGTGTGATCTGTCATATCTGTTGATATTTTAAGTTTCCTTTGTGGGTTATTTTTTAACTTTATTTTTTCATTTTATCTTAGTGTTTCCTTTCCCTTTCACCATGTATCTGTCCTCATATCATAAGATGACCAACACTGATGAAGGGAAAAAATACCACTTACTTAAGTTGCTGCAGGCACTTGAATTTGTCATGTTTTAATATGCTCACCATATGCCTCCAATTTACCTACAAGAGAGGACATGTTTTTAGGACAGAATTATGTACTTTGGGTTTCAGCTGGTAGGTACACTGAAGGTTTTTCACGTGTGCTTAGTCTTGGGCTAATGTTTTGGACAGCAGTGATCCAGGCATTACAGTGTGAAACAATCCCTGCTGAAGGTTGTCGTCACAATCCTCAAAACACAGGGCTTGGTTAAACGAGCTGTGTAAAGTGATTTCATAGAAGAACAAAATTTTTTATGCTTATCCTTAAGCTACTGTAATTCTCCACAGTAGATAATTTTTTGAGCAGAAACTGTCAATGTGAAGACGACCCAGCATTTCAGTAAGACCGAGCAGTCTGAATGTTTGGACAAGAAAACACTGAAAACAAAAATGATTGTCAGTCTGCTGCAATGAGCTGATGACAGTATTGGCCTTGTTCTAACTACTCTGTGAAAAGCCTTTTGGTAGTAAGGTGGACCAATACATGACATCAATGTATTTCAAGTTCTCAATTCTATTCTTTGAAATGACCATTTTAGATTTTTTTCCAAACTTCCACTTCATTTTTGTTTTTCTAAATTATTTTTTATACATGAGAGGGCCCACACTTCACTGCAGTTGGCTTCAAAAATACCATAATGCCATACTGAAGTTATTAACCTTTCACCTTACCTTGCCTGTATATTTCCACAAGCCTGGATGACATTGCATTTTTGCACTTGCATTCTTTATCTAACCCTTTACATTATTTTAAACCAATTTCTGTTTAATACTGCTGTACTTCACTGTACAGTAAACTGCTGAGTTATTTTTTCACATTATTCCTCATGTTCCATTCCATAATTTTTGTGTTTCACATTTGTTGTTTTACTGTTGACTAATTGTAATAATTATAATTCAATTTTGTTCAAGGTTTTTCACATGTGCAAACTTAGCCTTAGGCTATTCTAAACCCTTAAAAACACGTATAACAGTCCTGTATCAGACTTTGAAAACAAATTTCATGGTCTGTTTTTAAAACCCACAACAGAGGACTTGGCTAAATGGGCCATGACAAATTTTATGAGCCAACTTTAGTTAAGGCTTAGTAATCTGAACACAAGAAAAGAAGTGAATGTGGGTCCAGGGCTGCTGGAGTTTGAATCCAGTAAGTAACGGGGTGTTAGCCTCAGTCTAACCACCATGTGAAGAGCCTTTAACAATTGAGCTAAACAATATCAGAAACCACTGAAATTGTGATACCTTTGTCCATCAACAATCACAGCAACTACAATATTGAAACTTCAAGCTTGAAAGACAAAATGGACATGCACAGATTTTTGTTGTTTGCTCTTGATTTTTTTTAATTGATATTATCATCCTGGTATCAGGGGCAGCGGTGAGGACAGGCTGTGCACTGCAAAACAAATAAATCAATAAATTGGTCATGTAAACATGCTACTTAAAGGAGTATTGTAAATAAAACACTTCCTACTGACAGCCAGGGCTCAGCAAGCCAGCAACCCAGGGCTCCACAGGTGATGGCTGAAAGGGAAAGAATGTCATCTCCTTTACCAGACCATCAACGGCTGGATATAACACAGGCAGACAACAAAATGCCTTATCAGTTCGTGTGGGGGAGATGTACATAAAATTGTACTGTTCGAAACTGTGGCAGGAAGAGTGGCAAAGAGGGAGGCATAATGTTGAGAGCGGGACACAGTTTTTCCGGGGCAGCAAAATTGACTGCCCCACGGAACTCCACGAAACAGCAGAGACCCTGCTGCATCCGACCTTGCCACAGGTAACACTCCATCATTGCTGGGAGCAGCAGAGCCTGATGTTGATAGAGGGAGAAGTTGAAGAGGTCAGTATTAGCTTCTATGGTACATCCGTGGATCTGGGAAATTAAAAACATCACAAATAACAAGAAAAAAAATAGAGTTTCGGTTGTCTAAATAACCAAATACAGAATGTCCTCCTGTTTAGCTGTCTGCTGTGAGAAAAGTGGAGTCAGGGAAAAAGGCTGTGCCTCTTAGAAAGATTGTCCTGCAGCAGGTAACTGCAGCTGCGCAAATTGTTGGTATCCTTCTGTTTAAGACAGAAAAAGTCATATAAGTCACTAAAAGAACCTGAAAATGACAAAAGCATTGGTAAATAAAAAAATCAATAAAAATGTCTGTGTATGTAAATATGCTTGATAACATATACATATTAATCATGATGACAGAATACTTGAATTAATGCAGATGTGTCATTTCGCTGTTTATCACTTTACACAAATGAGCCTGTCACTTTGAATTCATGTGATTAGTTCACACTCAATAGATCATGAAATGACGCTAATTCATAGTAAATTCATGCATGCATTGATGTGACTAAATCAATTTTAAAAAGTAATCCATAGGTTTGCTTCAGAAATGTATTGATTTGAGAACATTTTTTTTTATTTCTGCATACTGTTACATTATAATTACAAGACAGTGTCTTTCGTTGGATAACAGGTGGTATATTCAGCCTCACGATGCTGCTTGGAGGCTATAAATACAGGGTTCCCGCTGTTTTCCAGATATCATTTTCCAGGACATTTTCTGTGGTGTTCAAGCTGGTATGACATCCTAAATTTAGTTCCTCAATAGTCTAATATGTCCCTCTCAGTAGAATTCTAAATTGCAAGCATTCAGTCGATGGCTATGAAATCACCTCTTACATACTTAAAAATTATGGCAAACAGATAATGGAATAATGTATCCACAGATGAACAGCACCTCACTTTTTAGTGCAACCATGTAATAACAAGCATCTCTGCCTTCTCCTTTTTTTAAAAAAGCAAAGGAATCTGGAAGCTGTATTACTGAAATAAATAAATAATAATAAGAGGATACATTGAATTAAAGTGCATAAATTTATCTTTATAGAACTAAATGACAAAAATGGCCACAAATTTTTCTGAACTCAAGACAAAATATACTTATCATGAATATTCATCCAGCAGTGGTCTGTCATTGTGCTGTTTGATTTAAACAGATTGTACATATTAACGCATTTTTCATGTTTTATCTTTAACTCGTTTATAAACACTGTTGTGAATTGGCATTTATCAAAGGTATGAAATACTAGTATTTCACTCTCACTTTTACTGGGCTCATAGCGGAACACAGACTTGGAAGTGCGACCGCAACTTAGTTAGCAAGAAAGACAGACAGACAGACAAGAGCGATTGAGCGCAAGCTAAAATGTCATCAATAACATCACCGTAAACTCAGAGGTTTAAAAAAAGTTTAAACAGTCTTGGCAATGTCTACTGTGTTCAGAGATGTCTACAATGTGCAGTTTCCATGCAGCCGTGTCGCTCTTTATGTTCCGTTTGTTTTCACTATCGGGAGTTTGCGCTGCTACTAGCTACAGTATGGTAAATGAGCTCCCAGCCTGCAGAGAAAGTTTAGAAGCACAGACGCTTCAAAGCTCTCTGCTCGACCGGTGTTGCCAGATTGGGCGGGTGTGTATTCCCACTGCGTAATTCCCCAGGACATTTCTCCCATTTTTCAGATGTCATCCAGTAATGGAAAACTGATTAACCGTTTTCCAGGACGCGTGGGAACCCTGAATTAGCTCGTTAGCGATGTTGAAAAACTACGTAATTACACCAATGAGTTACTGAATTTAGAGCGAAATAACTCTTCCACACCTAAACCGTATCTTAAAACATGTAAATATGTTTTAAAAAATGATAATGTATAACAGACACACTTTTAGCTCATGCAGATGCGGTCCTCTTACCTCCGTAGAGAATAAAACGATCTGCGCAGACTGCATGCGCAAAGGTCTTCTTCTTCAATGGGTAATTTTGGTGGTTGACAAACAAGAAATTGGCGCATTAGCCCCATCGGCTGATGTGGAGTGAGGATCTCGACGCTTACTCAATCTTATCAAAGATTAATTTATTAATTAATTAACGCTATCCATATCTTGCTCAGAACGTCTATTTCCCTCTAATATTTAAATAGTATTTAATAAGCTTTACTACCTGAACTTTGTCTCAGAATGTCTAAACTAAATTGTCTTTTAATTCTTTTCACGTTTATGGACCAAACTACTTCTTTCTTCTTCAACGTGATACGCGAATGTGAAATGCCCCACGCCCCTCTCCACGTACATAAAAATATACATCTACGCCTTTGTTGCCTTTCATTAACAGAAAGGTACCAACAATTTTGTTTTGTCTGCCTGTCTACAGCCATCTACGGTGAGGGGCACTGAATTAATGGCAGGGAAGATTTCACTGGGTGGAAGTTTTGTTCTGACACTTTTGTACCCGGTCTCACATCTGACCCACCATCCATCATCCCCTCTACCACATATTTGGGAACATTACATATATTACCAATGCTAATAGGCTATTGTTTATTGTTGGAGAGCACTCCAACAACTACTGAACCCAGTACATGCACCGCAGTGGCAGAGAGTTTGCTGACACGCCTCGCGGGTACACTAACCACCATATGCACAATATGAACCGTTATTCACCAAGCAGCGTGAGCAACAGCAACTGACCAAGTTTTCCCTTTTTAATGAGCGCAAGCAAGGTCAATGTCACTTACATTTATATTTCAAGATTGCAAAAAATACCTAATTGATGCACGTAATCGAGAGAGCGCGCAAAACGCTTGGTTACCTGCTTACGAGCCCAGCAGCGCTACGGTTGTGAGAAGAAAGCATGTGAGCAGTATTGCGATATATAGAAACAAGAAAATGTGTCTCCAAGCCCTCTGACCAAGTGAAGAACTCAATTTTTAGCATATCAGCAAAAACACGAGTTCGGCTATGCGTCAGAGACAAATACAAAGCACACTGTCCGCTCTTAATGTCCTTTAAGCCCTCTCACAAATAACAATGCCCCCTGAACATCAGTAAAGTACATTTTGACCTTAAGACCAGGGGCCTTACTTATCAAACGTGCGTAGAAAAGGTTCTAAATTCTGGCGTAGGAATGAAATTTAGAATGTGCGCAAGTACAAAGAAATCCATATAACAAACGTACGAACACCGGTCGTACGCACACACGTAAGTAATCGGTGATGATAAATCCCACCTGTTGTTTACTACCGTGCTCGTGCATGGTTAGGGTCATTTGCATTCAGGAACGCCTCCAATTGACCATATATGGCATCAACAATCCCTTTAAAAATGCTTGAATGAATGTTTTTCTCCTCCTGGAGGTGCACACTCACAGCGCTGTTCTGCAGCATGAATGAGTCGTGCGTTACTCCAGGCCACCGGGCAACAACGTTTAACAGAAACAAATGTGCATCGCAGATTATTTGTGCATTGATTGAATGAAATCTTTTCCTGTTGACGAATCTGAATTTATTGTGTGAAGGTGCTTTTATTGCGATGTGGGTGCAATCTATGGCTCCAATTATGTTTGGGAATCCGGCGATGGCGTGAAATCCTCGTTTTATTTCGGCTTGTTGCTGATGTGTGTTTGGGAACTGGATGTTAACTGAGGCCAGAGAAATTATTACATCCAACTCTGCCGGCATGATTCTGCTTAGCGTTGGCTGCGAAATGCCGTATATGTCTCCAATCTCATGATGAAATGTTCCGGTTAGGGTGGACAGGAGCTGGATGTGCGCTGGGATGGCTTTGGTGCGTTTTGTTTCTCGCTCCGACACGAGTAGTAAATCATGGCGTAAATCCATAAAAATGTTTTGGGGAAGCGGTACCTGCTGAGAATCCACCCTGAGTTCTCACTGAACAGATCAGCACGGTCTTTGAAAACGCGCTCCCTGCGGAGGAGCAGACACTTCTCCAAGTCCTCCAATAGCGCAAAATAAACCATGATACTTGTATTTTTACTTGTTTACTTGTTGCATGTCTTTCAGCCCAGAAATCTTTTATGTTTGCCAGAAAAGGCAGAAGGAGAACGACGAACGAGGAACATACAGTTCATATTGCACCTGTCAAAAATCTGGACTTTACAATAGTTTTATTTTTTTATTTTCATTTCTGTTTTTCCCACATTTTAGAAAGAAACTTTACGTATTAAAAATAAATCAACATTTTTCAATAGATTTATAAATAAGAGGGGGGAGGGGAGCAGGAAGTCAGGTTGTACCATTAAAACTTGTTTCTTCTCTGCAACTAGGGTTGTGCAATATCTGTGGTCTGGCTCTGAAAATGTACCCACTCGTGAAATGAGAAGATGATGTGATATGTCTGTTAATGCAGAACTGTCGGCTGTCTGTATGTCTGTACGTGTTTCTGGTTCGCGCATTATGCAATGCAGTTGTTTTTTCGCAGTTCTGACTGTCCACGACAAATTTCCCTGCGCGGACAATAAAGTTTTATTGAATTGAATTGAATTGTTTTTAAAGTAAACCACTGGCGCCAAAACGTCAGAGCAGTAGAAGACGTTCCACTGAACAGACGCGAAGACAACGACAGCTCAAGTGGGTAAAACAAATATAAAGCGATAGCTTACTTCAAGTTCGATAAATTTTGTGGCATAAATTTCGTTTTTATTTTGTTTGAAATAAGTTTACATGTGTAATTTGGTTGTTATGTTAGGGAGAGAAGGTGTGTATCAGTCTACCGGTGTATCATTCTGCCGGTAAGGTATATACCTAGCATGAATAAGGAATATAGAGTTCATACCTTTCCAGTCAAAATTTTGGACAATTTCTCATTCAGTGGTTAAATTTTTTAAAAGTTTGATTCATTTTAACATTTTTGACTAATATTGAACATATTAAGCGATTAAATAAAAATGAATGTAGATATATATCAACGAGAGGGAGGGGGTGCAGGGAGTCACTGTTTGATGGCTAATATTGGTTGTAAAGAAAGTATAACCATATAAATACCAATCATATAAATAGTAGAACCATAGGAGACATTTTTTTGTTCTTCACAAAAGACGGAGAGGACGACGAAAACAGAAGTTACTGAAACTAATAAAGAAAATACTTCAATGTCGTTTATTTTGTGTCATAAATTCCGTTTTTAATTTGTTTAAAATTAGCTTTATGGTATAATTTGGTAGGGGAGAGCAACACCACTGGTTTATGTTGTTTTTTTTCTGTTAACGGCTCAATATTAAGGAAAATGGTGAATATATTTCAAACTCCAACGACAAATTTTGAATTTTGAACTTTTGGCTTTGATGTTTGACCGTTGACAGGATTGAGACGTGCACGTGCACTCGGATAAGGTCGGTTTAGATCAATCAGTAAATGCCGCCCATTCTAAGCACAGGCACCTGTGCTTGATTTCATTCTTAAGAACTGCCAGTCCCAGCGAGAGGAGACGGTAGTCATTCATTAATGCTGCATTCAAGTTCCCCTCGGTCAAACTCACAGGATATTTTTCATTACCGTTTCATTACGTCTACAGTAAAAGACATTCACATATTTAGCCCTTAAGTACGACGAAGAAAATAACAGTCACTGAAACAAATATAAGGAAATGCTTAATTTTCCTTTATTTTGTGTCATAAATTCCGTTTTTAATTTGTTTGAAATTAGTTTACTGGTATAATTTGGTTGGGGAGGGCAGCTTTTTACTGTTATATCGGTAGCTTAAGGTATCGGCTAAGCTAAAACGAACGAGGAACGTAGAGTGTGGGGTGACCAGACGTCCGCGATATCCGGGGACCGGGGTCCCCGTTTTGGCTGTCCTGTCCCCGGCTAAAGCTGTCGTCGGATATGTCCTCGATTTTAGCGTCTCATGAATGACCAAAAAGTGATGCGTGTAGACTACAACAACGGTTATTACGGTAGGAGGATGGGTAGGAAACGCGAGTGCGCATGTAGCGCGCAGTCCTGACCAACAGTCGTTACGGGGGCGCGCGCTACTACCAAGTAGTGATGAACACCCACCACTCTGCCCGCTCTGAATCGATTACACACCGCCGTAGAGATCGGTGCTCTCCAGGCGTAGAGGACACAAAATAAAATTTTACTTTGCAACTTACTTTTCAAAGGTTTTATTTTTATTGTTCTTTAAAATATTGTACATTAATACTAGACGTGTTTCAACCATTAAATAAATGAACAAATTAATAATTAAGAAAGGGAGTGATGTGAGAAGGGATGGGGAGAGGGCAAGGAAGGAATGAGGGAGGAAGTGGGAGCAGGGGGGAAAGGGGGAGAGAGAGGGAAGGGGGGAGAAAAGGATGGGAGAAGGTGAGAGAGAGGGAAGGGGGGAGAAAAGGATGGGAGAAGGTGAGAGAGAGGGAAGGGGGAGAGAGGGGGATGGAAGAAGGGGAGAGAGAGGAAAGGGGAGAGGGAGAGGGAAGGGGGAGGGAGAGGGGAGGGGAGAGAGAGGGAAGGGGGGGCGATGGGAGAAGGGAGGAGAGAGGAAAGGGGGAGAGAGAGGGATGGGAGAAGGGGAAAAAGAGGGAAGGGGAGGGAGAGGGAAGAGGGGAGAGAGAGGGATGGGAGAAGGTGGGAGAGAGGGAAGGGGGATGGTGGGAGAAGGGAAGAGAGAGCAAAGGGGGGGAGAGAGAGGGATGGGAGAAGGGGAGAGAGAGGAAAGGGGGGAGAGAGAGGGATGGGAGAAGGAGGAGAGAGGGAAGAGGGGATGGGAGAAGGGGAGAGAGAAAAAAATAAACTAGATACAAGATACAAAAATAAAAAGACAGCTATAATTAGTGATGGAGATTCCCTCACAAAAATTATACTTTTTGAAGCTGTGGCAGGGAGAGTGGAAGAGGGGGGCGATGGGAGAAGGGGAGAGAGAGGAAAGGGGGGAGAGAGAGGGATGGGAGAAGGGGAAAGACAGGAAAGGGGGAGAGAGGGCGATGAGAGATAGAGAGAGAGGGAAGGGGGGAGAGAAAGGGATGGGAGAAGGAGAGAGAGGGAAGATGGACAAATAAAATGACAGGAAATACTCAACGTGTTTAACCTTTTTTGTTGCAGAATGGCACTGAGGAAACTGTTAGACTCACGGCCAGCCTCCCCCTACGTGAAGCTCCCGCCGCTCCAAATAATTTTTTTAAAAATTGAGGACTCCCCAAAAGTGGTGGCCTGGAATTTCGAGGAGTCAACTGCAAGCCCAACCTGCGTTAAAAACAACAAGACAGCAATAATTAGTGATGGGGATTCCCTCACTAAAATCACACTTTTCGAAGCTCTGGCAGGGAGAGTGGAAGAGGGGGGGACATATTTTATGAGGGGCTACACCCTGTTTGGCAAGTCCCCTCCTTTCACCATCAATGTAGGGAGTGGTACTCAATTTTTCCAGGGCAGCAAGATCGACTGCCCCGGAGAACTCCATACAAGAGCCGAGGCCCTGCTGCACCCTAGCTCGCCTCTGGTGGAACTCCATCATTGCTGGGCGCAGCAGGGCCTGATGTCCTTAGAGGGAGTGATCGCTGAGGTCAGTATGAGCTCCTATAGTACAGCCATGGATCTGGGAAATTAAAAACATCACAAATAACAAAGAAAAAAAGATTGCATTTTCAAGTATACAAAGTACTAATACAGAATTTCCTTCTGTTTAGCTGTCTGCAGTGAGAAAAGCGCAGTCTGGGAAAGAGCCTGTGCCAGTCAGGAAAATTGTCCTGAAGCAGGTAACTGCAGCTGTGAAAATTTTTGGTACACTTCTGTTCTAGAAAGAAAAAGTCATATAAGTCACTAAAAGAACCTGAAAATGAGAAAAGTAATAGTGAATAAAAAATCAATAAAAATGTCTGTGTATATACGGTATCTCACAAGAGTGAGTAGACCCCTCACTTTTCTGCAAATATTTAATTAGATCTTTTAATGGGATATAACTACAGAAATGACACTTTGATACCATGTATAGTTGTCAGTGTACAGCTTGTGTAACTGTAAAATTACTGTGCCCTCAAAATAACTCAACAAAGAGCCATTAATGTGTACACCCCTGGCAACAAAAGTCTGAGCACTGACAGGCTAACCCCCCACCCCTTCAACTCCTGCAGCAATGCTAGCAGCACTCAAACATCTATTTTCCGAAGACAACTTCTGGATATGACGCTGAGCACATGCACTCAACCTCTTAGGTCGACCATGGTGAGGTTCTGGGTGGTTCCTGTCCCATTTAACAGCTGTGTGGTCTTGGCCACTGTGCTGCAGCTCAGTTTCAGGGTGTTGGCAATCTTCTTATAGCCTAGGCCAACTTCATGTAGAGCCACAAATTCTGTTTTTAGATCCTCAGAGAGTTCTTTGCCATGAGGTGCCATGATAAACTTCCAGTGACCAGTAAGAGAGGGTGTAGGACAGATGACACCAAATTTAACACAGCTGCACCCCATTCACACCTGAGAGCTCGTAATACTAATAAGTGACATGACATAGGGGAGGGAAAATGGCTAATTGGGCCCAATTTGGATATTTTCACTGAGTGGTGTACTGACTTTTGTTGCCAGGGGTGTACACATTAATGGCTCTGTGTTGAGTTATTTTGAGGGCACAGTAATTCTACACTGTTACACAAGCTGTACTCTGACTAATGTCTGTTGTGTCAAAGTGTCATCTCTTTAGTTTTGTCCCATGAAAATATATAACATTTGCAGAAATGTGAGGGGTCTACTCGCTTTTGTGAGATACTGCACACTGTTAACATTTACATAATGTATGAATCATGATGAAATAACTCTTGAATTAATGCAGATGTGTCATTTTGCCTTTTCTTACTTCACACTAATGAGCCTGTCACTTTGAAGTCACGTGATTAGTTCACACTCAACAGATCATTGAATGATGCTTATTTACAGTCAATTCATACATGCATTGATGTGACTACATCAACTTGATATCAAATTTCCCCTTGAGGATTCATAAAGTTTTTCTTATCTTATCGTTCTCATAAATTAATGCTTAGTTTAGCATCATGCATTTGCTCAGCCCTTCAGGTTTAAATGAGACAAGAGCCTGTGGTAATTTAAGTGTTACATGTATTGGGACAACAGGCAATAAGATGTTCCCTTATGTTTTACAGGACACAACTACAATTAAGGTCTCCCTGTGGAGGGAGGCAGCAGTGGAGCCCCTCATCGTCGGGGAGACCATAAAAGTGACCCATGTGAAGTCTCTTAGGACAGAATATGGCGTCCAGGTCAACACGACCAATTTTACGAAAATTGAGGTAAATTGTTGTTGTTACTGTTTTCAGGCACTTTTTGAAAAATATAACTTCCATTTTCCTCTACAATTGGTAGTTTACAGAATCACAATAAAGAACTAGGTTTAATAACTATTTGATTAATTTAAAAATGATATAAAGATATACACACACAGACAAAATTGTTGGCAACCTTATGTTTAAGACAGACAAACCCACATACAGTCACACAGAAAAGTATTTGCCTCTGTCTGATTTCTTATATTTATGTACATTAAATTCAGAGATAACTACAGTAAATATAACATGCAGTTTACAAATGTTTTTATTTAAGGAGAAAAGAAAGTTATCCATACCTACCTGACCCTATGTGAAAAAGTAATTACCCCCTCTTCTCAAATCACAAATTAACTTTTTTTTTCTTTAAAAACGAGTGAAATGTCTATATTAATACCCAGACCTGATTACTGCTAGACCTCATGAATCAAGAAATCAATTTAACAGAACCTGTCTTAACTAGAGGAGTGTAAAAGATGTCAAAAAGAAGCACAATATGTCACGGTCTAAAGAAAAAATTCAAGCGCAAATGAGAAAAAAATTAATGACATCTTCAATACATGTAACTCTTGAGAGTTTTAAGCTGTAATTTTGGTCATTGTCCTTTCTGAGGACCATGAAGGACAAAATACTGGACTATTCTTAAGTGGTCTCCCAAGTTCTGATTTCAGTACTATTGAACATCTGTGTAAGGAACTGAAACATGCAGTCTGGAGATAACACCCTTCAAATCTGACACCACTGGAGCAGTTTGCTCACTAGGAGTGGGCCAAAACACCTGTGGACAGGTGCACAGGTCTCTCTGAGAGTTATAGAAATCACTTGATGGAAGTTATTGCCTAAAAAGGTTGAGCAACATAGTATAAAGTTAAAGGTACCATCAATTTTGTCCAGGCCAGTTTTGTTTGAATTTGTTTGATTTAAAGTGTGTTTAAATGTGTCAGTTTCATACATTTACTTTTGAAAAAAATAGTTCTGTTAAACCAAAATTCAAATCCAATGTCATAATTTCATTAGTTAATTTTCTGTTCATTATGTTTCATTCTTACTTTGTTAGTTTCAAGTCATTTTTGTGAGCTTTATTGGTTTAGTATTCTTTAAAAGAAAGGTACCAACAACTTTGTCTGCCTGTGTATAGACATCAACATCTATTTGAGGGGCACGGAATTAATGGCAGGGAAGATTTCTGTGGGTGGAAGTTTTGTATTGACACTTTTGTACCAGGTCTCACATCTGACCCACTTCCTCTAGTGCCAGGATAGGCAGGGCTTCAGGACAATCATACTCACAATATTAATAGTTATTGGGCCATTGTTACAAAAGAACATCCCAATAATCTAATTCCTTACCTGTGTTTTTTTAATTTGTAAACAGAAGCAGCAGTCAAGCCGGACAATCACCATCATCGGTGTCCTCAAGGAGGGAGGGGCCACATCAGACGGCAACCCTCCAGATGCCATTTTTGAAGTTCTGCTCCAGAGTGGGGACACCCTGTTCATCGAGGAGGCTTTGTGGGAGGCCTCCTTTGATGAGGCCATTAGCAAGGGCCCCCTAATAGTTATGGCATCAGTTTCCGGGACAACCATAACTGCAATTAAAATGAAATAAATCAATGTTAATTACTTTTGTAAATAGTTAAATATTTCAAAGACACACACACACACACACACACACACACACACACACACAAAGAAGTAAGTTCAACTATGTAATCTTTTTTTGTTTTTAATAAATTCAAATACTGTAAATAGTTTGTCTCACACACACACACACACACACACACTGTTCTTGAGTTTGTTTAAATTGTTTAAAATTGAATGTTAAAAAATAAAATGGTTTGCAACAGAAATGTATTTTTTGAGAACATTTTTTTTATAATTTATGCAAAGTGTTACATTTTAATTAGCCATCAAAACAGTGTATTTCGTTTGATAACAGTGGTATGTTCAGCCTCAAGTTGCTGCTTCGAGGCTACAATTGTTGGAAAAACTATCTAATTATATCATATCTCACAGAATTTAGAGCAAAATAACTCATTCTTACCTTAACCATAGCTAAACACATGGAAATATGTACAAACATTTGATAATGTATAATCCGACGCACCTGTAGCTCATGCACACGTAGTCCTGTCACCTCTGCAGTCGATGAAATGGCCTGCGCGGACTGCATGCGCAAAGGTCTCTTTCTTCTTCACTGGTTTATTTTGGTAATCGGCAAAAAAAAAACATATTGATGCCAAATTAGCGCCACCACCTGATGTGGAGTGAGGACCTCGACGCTTCCTCAAGCTCATCAAGTAAAGTAAATAAATAAATGAACACATAATAGATTGTTTATGGCTATTTTTACACGTTTGTTTCTGGAATTACAAGTGTTTTGTCTCGTGCACTGTTTTGTGGATGTCTAACTGCAATTGCCCTCCTGTCAAGTTAAAGTCCCACTCGGAACGTTTTTTTATTTTATTTTATTTTTTACTCGTTAAAATGTTCTTCGAGGTCCTTTAATTGCGACTATTCTGTTTTTAACCAAAATCACGTTACCTTTGTAATTATCTGCAGGGCTCCAGTTGAAATTCGCTTCTGAGTTGCGGGCGGAGACAGCGCTGCTCTGCACCCCCCTCTTCACACTAGCCCAACTTTGCCGGTGTTGCAGAAGTGGCAGGCAATGTAGGAAATATTCAGCTCTGGGACACTAACGTCTTTGGGGACATAATAAAATATCATCAGTAGCGATTTTGGTCTGGAAATTCTGGTAGGGTCATGCAGGAAAATCTCATAATGCAGTCCAGAAATACCAGATTTTACTCTCATACCCTCACAACAAAAACACAGCAGCGAGAGAGGGGACCAGAGCACCTTTAACGACAAAACTGCAGCTAAATAATGGCATCACACAATGTCAATCAGGCAACATATATTGTCATACAAATTGCGCCACCAAATGGCAGTGTTCAAGAGCTCACAATACCAAATACTCGAGATCGACACAACGTGACAATAATAAAAACACAATGCCGTGAACGGCGCACACCTAATACACAGAAATTAAAGCCACCACAGCCAATGTACCACCCTGTAGAGAAAGCCACTTTCTAATACTAGTTCTGTAAGTTTCCCAACGTGTCCTTGTAAAGTGGAGAACGTCTTTACTCTGGACAGATGATAGATGCATATAGCACCGTTTCGTTCCTTTTTTATGCACTTTTGAAGGCTATTTTCTTTTTTTCCTTTTCTTTTCTTCCTCTTCTATTGTCTCGCTGCTAGATGCGCTCGTCGCCATGTTTGTGTATTTCTGATACTATGGCAACGAGACTCGGCTCCTATTGGTCCACGTGACAAAAATCGCTTCACCCCTTTGCATATTCGATTGCGCGTGTGCAAGTATCACTACGCCGCAGAAAGGAAATAGTTCGACACCGAAACACTGATTACTAAAAATCGACTGGATGGCATGAGTAGATATTTATTTTTAGTTCTTACTATCAACAGAGCTATTTTATGAATCACAGCTTATGTTGCCCCACTGAAGTGGAACGAACCAACATGACCTCACTCAGCCAATACAGCCTATTAGTGACCTGTGCAGTTCCCGAGCTCTCTTCTAATCAGCCAATGAGAAGCGCTCTGGGACACTAAACGTCAGGCCCCACTGCTGAAACTTTAGTGTGCGCTGCACACGCGCTGCCCGACCTGGTCTGTTCCGTTCTGTTCCTGTCTGCTTGCCCTCAGATTGTAGCCTGGTTGGGCCATCCAGTTGCGTGAATCACGGAACTGGATGGCCCAACCAGGTCGTAAGGTTTCGACATGAAGGACATGACATCTCTGTGTGTTCTGGAGGTTTGGTTCCTAGCTTACATTCCAGCATCGAGGCTTTTAGCCCTCCAATGACTCTGAAGTCTGTGTAAGGTTGTGGCCTACAGGTAAAGCGGCGGACTTTCGCGCAGGAGTCGCCGGTTCGAGTCCCGGAGAGAATAAGTAAACTGCATCATTGTTTTGTGTTCTACAAAGACTATTGAACATCAACTTACCTGTTTGCATCTGGGTCCTTAAACGTGTGACACTTAAAGTCACAGGCTGTTTATTGCTGTTTATTTCACAAGTCTTTTTTTATTTAACTTTATTTTTCACACTTCATATCATTACAAATAATTCTTTCTTTTACTGCCATGAAAGTTGTGTTCCAGCAGCTGTCGGAGAAAATTACTGTTGAGTCTCCATCACAATTACAAATTCTGGTGTCTCATCTGCCGACTGTCTGCATGACACCCTGCAATCCAAACACCAAGAATTAGACAATGTGGAGAGGTGCACAGAGATGTTACACAGACCACTTTGGGTCACAACCACAACTACTTCTCCTTTTAACTTAAGCTATTCTCCAACTTCCACAATGGTACACCTTCTACCTTTTCTTCCCTTTTACGTCCTTCAGCAGTTTTAAAATTTATACTTTTCTCCTTTTTTTTTTTTTTTTGCATGGCTATTTCAGCACTCAGCATTTCCACGCATTTTCTGCAAGGAAATGCAATTTTTCTAGTTATTATTATTATTCTTCCGTACCTTTTTTGCAACTTTTCAACTCCTCCATACTTTGTCCGATTTCAACCGTTCAACTTTTAAACTATTCCTCTCCTTCAGGAATAGTGCGGATGTATTTTTCACTTTTCTACCCCTTATACTTTTTGATATTTTTGACTTTTTGTGCAAAAAATTTTCCCATTGAAATGAATGGGGAGATCTTCAAATTCTACCTTTTACTCCTCCACCTTCTCAGCCTTATAACTTCAGCGTACTTTCACCTACAGACCTCATTTTTGCTTTAAAATGTTCACAATCTTCTCCTCCAAATATGCTGTATTGACTTTTTTGTGCTATCTCCTACAGTTTTTCCACAATTT